CTTTGTCTCATTAACTCAGAGGTCCCCACCTTGCTTTGTCCATACCTCTCCCCTTGGACTGCCCCCTCTTGCATCTCCAGCCCCCAGCACTTTCAAGTTCCTGGGATGAGATAAGGGCCCATAGAATTAGGCCTCAGCACACAGTGGGTTTCAGTCCAAGGAAGAGAGGGAATGAGCAGGAAGCATTTCATGGAGACAGAGTTAGAGGGAACTCAGATGCTTCTCAGGAGGGCATCTGGGCACAAGCATAGCATGAACCAAAGCATGGATGTAGGAGAGGATGGGAACAATTACTGGGGAACAGGAGGAGCCCAGCTGGAGGAGTGCCAGCTGGAGAAGCAGGGGAGAGGCTGGAGCGGTGGGGCAGGCAGGGTCCAGGCAGGGGCTGCCTTTGTTGTAACCAAAGCACCTAGCTCTTGGGTCTGGAATCTCAGGGATACTAATGGTGGGCGGGGCAGGTGCAGTAGGGAAGCCTGGTTCCCGTTTCTCCTCCCCATCCTCAGCCCCTCCCAGAGACCTTCCTCTGAGTGCTTCTCTCCCAGTGCCCCCTTGTCCTGGTAATGCCCAAGGTGTTCCTGCTGTTGTCCTGACAGCTGCAGGTAAAGCCTCAGCCATGGCCACACCAGGCACACGCCACCACACACGAATGTAGCACAGATACATTCCTGGTCACCTAGCCACACTAAAACAAACATGGTACACAGCTGCATACCATCACTGCCATGTGCACGTGATGGCGCAGTGACGCATGCTGTTGTGGGCATACTTTGCACACAGCCCCACAGTCTGGCTCCTTCTCTGGGTCGGTTGCTTCTGAATTTCCTGAGAACCTGTCCTGCCCCCTGGTGGCCATTCCCCAAGCCACTGCCCCTCTGGAAGGACCCCTTCTACCTCCTTGCCTTCTGGCCTAGAGCAGGCTCTTCCCTCAAACTGCAACTATGAGACCAGGCCCCTCAGACATCCTCCACACCAGTCTCCCCCATCAGACATCCTCCAGACCACCCTCCCACCTCAGACGTCCTTCAGACCAGCCTCCCCCCTCAGACTGGTGCTGTCAGGCAAGGCCTTCTCAAACAGGGTGATTGACATCCCAGTTTGCCTGGGACTGAGGGGTTTCCTGAGACTTGAGATATTCAGTGCTAAAACTGGGAAAGTTCAGGCAGACTAGAACTAGTTGGCGGTTCTAGTCTTCGGATCCGTGTGCCTTCAGCTCAGTCTCCCCTCAGACTGGACCCATCAGACCAGGCCCTTTCAGACACCCCTGGGTCAGCTTACCCCTCAGGCTGGGCCTTTCAAACGAAAGCTCTTTTGATGCGTTCCCAGATGAGCCCTGGCTCAGGCTCACCCTGTCGCATGTGCCCTCTCAGACCCATTCACCCTCAGATTGGCTTCCCCATCAGAGCAGCACTGTCAGGTCCCTTCCAGCCTCTCCCCAAACTGGCTCCATCCGACGCCCTTCCTCAGACCTCCTTCCTCTCCCCCTCCTCTGAGAAGAGGCAAGGTGGAGAGATTACATCCCAATCACTCCTGCCCTGAGGACCTTAGCCCTCCATCTCCAGGCAGGCATTGCCTTCCCAGGGTCCGGCCGCTCTGGGCTGTGGGCCTCAGGACCTGAAGACAGGCAGGTGCAGGATGCAGGACTGGGACTGGAGCCGGGGATTCTGTTCTCTCCACGTGAGAATGAACTTTCTCGGGTGAGCTCACAGGCTCCAGGGAGTTCTCAGGGCCCGAGGCTGCCCAGGAAGGATTCCTGCCTGATGTCGCCCTCTTTCCTGGCTGGCTGCTGGGAATGCACACCAGACGTGGGATGTCTGTGCTGAGAGCTGCCAGCCTAGGAGCAGGAATGAAGGGTAGGCGGGTGGCCGAGAGGGGGCAGCAGAAGCCAGGACAGTCCCTGGTGCAGGCCGGAGAGGAGCGGCGGCCACAGGCTGGGGTCTGGATAGGTATGGGAACACAGAGGGAGGCAAAAAAGAGAAGGACTGACAGAGTCAGGGAAGAGGGAGACAGAGGTGGAGACGTGGATAGAGATATATACAGAGAGACACAGAGATGGGGATGGAGACACATGAGACAGAGGGAGAGGGAGAAGGCAGAAAAAGGGAAGACAGACAAGGAAGAAGAGATGCGAAGACAAGCATGGAGAGGGATGGATATAGAGACAAGGAGGGAAGAAGAGACAGGAGAAGAGACACAAGATGGAGACATAGAGAGAGAGAGGGATGGAACAGAAACATACAGAAAGAAATGCAGATAGGAAACAGGACAAAGACAGATTCAGAGATAGGAATGGGACAGGAGACAAATATAGGCTGGGTGCAGTGGCTCATGCCTGTAATCCCAGCACTTTGGGAGGCCAAGGCGGGCAGATCACCTGAGGTCAGGAGTTTGACACCAGTCTGGCCAACGTGGCAAAACCCCGTCTCTACTAAAAATACAAAAATTAGCCAGGCATTGTGGTGGGCACCTGTAAACCCAGCTACCCGGGAGGTTGAGGCAGGAGAATTGCTTGAACCCGGGAAGTGGAAGTTGCAGTGAGCCTAGATCACACTGTTGCACTCCAGCCTTGGTGAGAGTGAAACTCCGTCTCAAAAAAAAAAAAAAAAAAGAAGAGACAAACATAGAAATGAAAATGGGTTCAGCAAGAAGAGAGGGGCGGGGGTGCACAGAGGCAGGTCTAGAGTTGTAAGAATGGAGTAGAGCCACACTGGAAGAGAGATCAAGTGGGCAAGGGGCTGACAGGCCAGGACACAGAGCGGGGCCCAGCCACAGTGTATCGTGGGGGCGCAAAGAGAAGTAGGGAGCTGGAAGGCTGGGACCCTGTGCAATGCACCTGAGGTCTGGGATCCCAGCCTCCCCTTCCCCCCATGCCTCAGGGTTGTTTTAATTCTCCAGATTCTGTTTTAGCTCCAAGAGCTGATGCCTGCAATTATGCCTGACTCCCCAGAACCACCGTGGGAACTACATGTGGAGGGACAGTACTAGAGAGAGGTGACAGTCAGCAACTGAGACCCTCCAAGGCGAACAGCCTCTGTGAGGCCAAGGGCCCAGGACCCACAAGGAGGGTGACCACCCGCAGGCCCAGGGCAGTTGTCTAGTCAGAGGCAATGATGCTGCCCCTCCAGCCACCCTGGGCTTGAGGCAGAGCAGGGTCTCTCTTAGAGCTGGGGGAAGAGATAGAGGCCCCAGTCCTCCCCTCCATTGGCCTCTGAGGCTCTGGCAGGCCCCCTCCCCTACTTCTGCCCCCTCCTCCCGAGGCCCCACATAATTACTTTCCCATGTTGCTAATGGAGGCCAGATTGCTGATGCCCAAGCTCTGGGTGGGTGGTGGGTAGGTCAGGGCTGACCAGGGCTCTCAAGGCAGAAAGGCAGCTCAGGCCAGAGACTCCTCACTTCATCCCACCCACCCCAAAGATGAAGGGTGGAAGTTCTGACACATCCCAGGAATGTTGTGGGGGAGACTGTTGGTGACCCCCTGTTACCTCCACTCATGCTCGAGCCTAGGTTCAGGCTGAGCCACACCTCACAGGGACCAGACCCCCAGGCAGAACTTGGGGTTCAGGGTACAGAGCAGGTCCACAGCCACCTCTCAGGATGGCCATCCTGGAAGCCTCTTCCTGTGAATGAAGAGCCTTGCATTTCCATAGCTGGGCGTGCTCAGCTTGAAAAGCCACAGGCTTCACCTTGATGCCAGGCCTTTGCTTTCATGGGTCTCCCACCTAGAACACCCCTCTCTCTTCTAACCTGGAGAAGAGACGGCCACTTTACTCTGGAGCCCCTCACCAGGCCTCACCTCTGGGACTATGTCTTCTCCAGGCCGGACTCATCGGTGCTTGAGGCACTGTCAATCCCCTTCCCAGGGCACGTTCCCAGGGGGGCCTGGATCCCAGGAAGGGGTATCCATTGCTGGAGCCTAGTCTGAGGGGAAAGGTTTGAACTGGGAGAAAGTGTGTGATGGCATCAGGGTAGCTGGTGGCTCTGTGCACACATCTGTACACAGGTGGGTGTGGGTGTGGACCTGACTTTGACTCCACCCCCCTCTTCTTACTCCAGGCACCTAGAGCAAGGCAAAAACCTGGCTCCCCAGGTCAGAGCTCCGGCCTCTCCTTTCACCCCTGCCCCCAGGTCACAGGGCCTGCCTACTTGGCCCCAGCCCTGGACATTCCCAGCTGAGAATGCCTGCTTACGCTCAGTAAGGCGGCTTCTATAAGTGGGGTCTGGACCTAAGCAGGCCTGGGACAGCCAAGTGTCCTCCTCTGAGGAGAAGTCAGAGGGACCCCGGAGCCCCAGTTTGGGGATTGAAAGGGTGTGGGCAGGATCTGAGGTTGGACCAAAGACTGACCATCCTATAAAGTCAAAGCCCCACCCTCTCCAGCTCCACAGAGTCCTGACTATAACCTAGCCCTGGGAGTAAGCCCTGTACTCTGTCATTCCAGTTCTGAAGCCCAGGTCCTGTCCCTGGTCATACTCCAAGCAACCTCCTCCTTCAGGCAGCCGCCCTGCCTGCCCAGGCCCAGGACACTCTGTGCTCTGAGCCCTTGTGGCCTGGCTGAGCCCTAGGCCTGACCTTCTGGCACTCCTGGACTGTCTCTTGGATGGCAGGGATCAGGCACACCCCCTGGCCCCAAGGATGAAGCCTGCCCCTCCCCTTCTGCCATCTCTAGCCCTGTGCACTGGGCTCAGGCCTGGGCACTCATGGAAGGCAGTTCTAGAGGTGACCCTTGAAAGGCTTCTGCCACAGCCAAGACTTGAGCAGCCTCCAGGACTGACTGGATACCCTATGGGATCCCTCATTTCCCGCAGTTTTTCCCTGGCTGCAACCCTGTGCTCCAGGGAAGCCCTACCCGCCAAGTAGAAGACAACACTCTTACCAGATACACTGGCCTGAAAGCTGAACGCCTCTCCCCACCTTCCCCAACCACAATTTCTTTCCTCCACCAGCCCTGGAAGGGGCAGGGTCCTTGGAAGAGGGGTACCCTCCCAAAGTGGATCTGTTCCAAGGACTCATGAAATGGTGACGTTTAATGAGAACCCCCCACCCCCCCACCCTGTATATACATCTATAAAAAATTCAAATACAGCAAGTTACCATTGAGTCAGACTAGAAGGGACTGACAGGGCATTAAATACTGTGGGATAGGAGCAGGGTCAGGGGAGGGGTGTACAAAACAGGGCAGAGGGGAGGGGACTGAAAAGTGTGGGTGCTGGGGGGAGGGGGATGGCTGGGCCCCCCCAGCATCAGGAGCTTATAATCTGACGGTGGCAACAGAGACCCTGGGATAGACAGGAGGCTGGGGCAGGAGGAGAAATTGGATGTGAGAGGCTCCCCTCACGTCCCCCAAGGGCTCCTGGGAGTCGCTGGCATTGGAGGGTCCAGCCCAAGGGGCCAGGGTGAGGGGGTCTTTGGTGGGTGGGTTAGCTGCATGGCCCATCTCCCATGAGGGAGGAAGGAGGGCCAGCTTGGTGCGGCAGGGCTGGGGGGCGGCAGGCCCGGGCCCGCCGGGGGTCTCCACAAATTGTGTCTGAAGAGAATGCAAAAGGTCCTCCTGCCCGTGTGCAAAATAGAAACCGGAGTCTGCAGGCTCAGCTCCGGCCTCCTGCTCCTCTGCAGGTGCTCTGCATGTCCTCATGGGGTACCGGGCTCTGCAGAGACAGGCAGGGGCCTGTCAGGGAGGGGGCTGGAGTGGGGGTTCCCTCAGGCTCCCTCTGCCACCCAGCCTCACTCAACCTACCAGATCATGAGACTGCTGGCAGTGGTGGCAGCGGCAGCCAGGGCCAGAGTGACAGGGACGCTGACCAAGAAGGGTGCCGAGGGTCCCCCGCCGCTGCCCAGCTCCCCAGGGTCACAGATCTTCGTGGTAGGTGGGGGTGCCGGGGAGCTGGTGGTGCTGGTCGTGGTCTCTGGGGAACATGGGGGAAACTCAGGGCAAGGCCAGGGCTGGGGTCCCATCCAGATCTGGGGGCTCATGAGACATACTGTTCTGCTTCCTGCATCAGACTGGTACTGCCTCCCCCATCAGGCAGTCCTGCCTCCCCCATCAGGCAGATCCTGCTTCCCAAGGCTCACAGATAACTCCTCCACCCAATGACCCCTACCAAGGATGTCCAGATAGCAAGGACCAGGAATGGCAGGGGTTGGACAGACAGGCAGAAGTGTGGCTGCCACAGAGTGTGGCTACCCCGGGAGCAGAGGCTGGAGGCAGCAGGGTAGAACCAGGCCACAGGTTCTACCACAGGCCTCCAGGACAGCAGAGCCAGGAGGTAGGGCAGGAGCAAGCTCACCCGCAGCCTGGGCCTCCGTAGTGAGGTGTCGCGGTTCCTCAGTCCAGGGCGTAGCATGGGCAGCCACGCTCCAGTCACTCCATGTCCCAATTTCATTGTCCTTGGCTGCCACTTGGATAATGTACTCCTTCCCGGCGTAGGCATCTGTGATGGTGTGTGCTGTGCCATCAGACAGCTCTACCTGCAGCCAGACCATGGGGTGGGGGTAAGGACACACCTGGGGGCCAGGATTGTGAGGTCCCTCCAGAGGAAGTGAGCATGCCTCTGGGGAGAGGCGAGTGAAGTGCTCTGGGGACAGTGAGGACTTCCCTGGAGGAGGAGGAGGACATGGAGAATATTCTTGCCAGAGACTGGGGACATCTTAGGGAGGAGACCCCACGGGAGAGCAGTTGTCCCTGAAGGAGAGTAATGACATCTTCAAGGAGACCAGAAACACCCCAGGGGATAATAAGGAGGTCTTTGCCCTGTGCCTATGACTCTGCTGTTGCCACTGCTCTCTCACAGTCCCCAGCCTGGCTGAATCCTGACCACAGTCCCAGCCTGGAGGTGGCAAGGGCAGGGGGTGAAAGGAGATGGTAGTGCTGCCCTCTTCTCCCACCAGGAAGCCACTGAGGGGAGGTTCCACACACTGACTGGAGCTAGGCTGCCTGAGTTTCAAATTTGGCCCCATCCCCTAGTAGTGAGGTGACCAAGTTACTTAACATCCTCACGCCTTGCCATCCTCATCTGCAAAACGGCATTCATGAGAGTATCCATCTCTTAGGGTTACAATGAGGACGAAGGCATGAGAACAGCACCAAACGCACTTCAGCCAGCGCTGTCATTACCATGGCTTCTGGTCACAGCCCGGGTTCCCAGATGCCCAAGGCACCTACCAGCCTGGCCCCAGCTGAGCCTCCCCTCAGGAAGGCCTCAGTGTGGTTATCACCCTGCTAGGGCAGAAAGGGGTGGAGGACAGCCCCTGGGGCTGCAGGGCACAGAACAGCTGCTCCATTTCCTCCTGGAGGCATCGCAACCCCACTCCTGCCCTGCTGGCCCCATCCTGCTGGTCTCCCCCAACCCTCCAGGCCGGGCTGCCTGTCCGGCGCCCCTTCCAGGCCCAGGCTGGGCTCTGGTTCATCTCAGCGGCACCCGCTGCCTCATTAAGCCGCCTCGTAAACAGGGGCAGCCGGCGGGGGCGGAGGAGGGGGCCGCTCTGGGCTATGTCTGGCTTCAGGGCTTTTTTGGTCCCTGTTCCAATCTTCCCCCCAGAAAACTGGGGTCTGGGCTATCTGACCTGACAGGCTGTGCATGCATGCACACATGTGTGTATGTGTGTCTGGGTATGTGCTCAGCCTGTGGCCCTGATAACGGTGGTAAAGGTCAGGGTCATGGTGAGACACCTTTTAGGCCAGACCCTGGGCTCAGTAAATCCTAATCTCAGCCCTGGAAGATTGGAGGGTCCCAAAGACCGTCTTCTCCTGGAGCCAGGGTCCCAGTTCTACCTCTGGTACCCCAGTCCCTTTCTGCTCGGCTCCTTCAGCTCTGTCTCCCTCCTGCCAGGATTAGACCGCAGACCTCCATGTCAGTCTCTCCCCACAGGGAACAGATCAAATTGCCGCTTCATTGTGGGCTCATGGTGGGCACCATACCTCTGGGAATGTGGCCCCCAGGAGGTCAGTGCTCTCCTGGGGACCACATATCCTAGACTAGGATCCTTCTTGTGAGGTTATCAGTGATCCCTTCATCCTCCCTCTCAAGAAAAAGGCTTCTCAACTGGCAGGAACTCCCTAGTCACTGACATTGGCCTCCCCTGGGAGTCCTCCATGGTCTGCTGGAGCAGATGCCTGACACGCCTTCCAGGCCTCCCTGTCCACTTAGGGCCAGGGCAGGAGTTGCAGGGAATCCATGCTGGGTCCCTGTACTTGCCTCTCTCTTGTTCATGCTGAGACAGCCCCTGCCCAGGGCCCATTCTTTTGCAATTCCTGGTCTGGATTTTCCTCCTGAAAATCCAGGTGATGTTTTTCTCTGTTCTGCCCTTCTCGCCCCCTCCCAGTAATACACCTGCCTCTCCCCAAGGTCAAGGATTGGGGAGAAAAGACTCTGTTCAGAGCAAAATTTCAGATGAAAAGAACCATAAATCTAACCAGCCCCAGTGCCAGTGAGACACAGAATGGGGCTAGGATGAGCTACAGGCCACGCGTGTTCTCGCCCCAGAGCCTGCATACTTTGCTCTTCCCACCTGAGTGTGGGGGTCAGTTTTGTGCATGGTCTTGGCATGTTAGTTGCATACACGTATGGCATATGATTCCTGCTGGGAGCTGCGCGTGTGTGCATGTTCCCGTGTGTGTGGTGGGCAGTGTGCCAGGTCCACTGCAAGGCGTGTGCGCCGCGACGCGCGGGGCTGCTGCCTGTAGCTCGTTAGCGGGGGAGGGGGGGCTTGTGAAACTAGACCCTGGTTATTAGCAATGCATTAGGCGCGGGCAGCTGGCCAGGCGGGAGGGACTCCGGACTCTGTCAGGGAACATGTGAGTGCATGAGCAGGCTTTGTGGGGGACAGGCACCCAGGAATCGAATTACATGCTTTAAAGGCCAGAAAGGATAGGGGCATGAGGAGCTGGAGTTGGAGCCTGGTAGATGAGGTGGGGGTACAAGTTGACCCCCAGGAACCAGCCTGGGTTGTCCCATGGAGTACCCTCCCAACCCCAGTCCTAGCCTACAGGCCTCATGGGCCACACAGAGTGCCCACAACCCTATGGGCCCAGGGTGCTCAAAGCAAGAGAACTCCAAGTCTGCCTCAAACCTCTGGCTGTTCCCCAGAGCTCTCTATTGTAGCTTGATCCAGACCATAGTCCGACCCCATACTGACTCTTGTCCACTGCTTGGTTCCCAGCCAGGCTACCTTCCAACTCATAGCCTCAAGCTGACCCCTAAGCTGGGTCTGACTTTGGAGTCCTGATGCCAGTCAGGGCCTAAACTCGCACCCTGGACCAGGCTTGACCCCACTGCCTGATCCTGACCCCTTGGGGCCAACACAGGCCCAGAGCCTCGGCCAGAGTGTAAAGAGGGAGATGTCTTTGAGGGCTGAAAGAGGGAGATGTCTGGTCAGGCTGAGGTAAGGAAAGGGAGTCTTGCCTGTCCTGCCCGATATCTCCCTTCTTGCATTTCTCTCCACTACCCGGGGGAGCCACAAAAAGACATATGTGCTCCCACTGCACTAACAGGGGTCACTGGGAACCCCTAAGGACACCTGCCTCAGCTCCATCCATTCTCCCAGGCCCACCTGGTCCCTTTTCCCCACAGAGAGCCTGACTCATCAGGTCTCACACTGGAGCTGCTGCCACGTGGGATATGGGTGCCACTCACTCCACGTGATTCTAACTCAGGCACCCAGGATCTTGACAGGGCAGGGCACTCACATGCTGCCACTGGTCCAGGATGAGGGGTCGGTAGCGCAGAAAGAACTTGAGAGGAAAAGACTCAGGGTCAGGCCAGGTCGAGGGGATCTGCCATGTCACCTCCAGCCGGCGAGGGTTGCTGGGCACTGGCCGGGCTACCACATTTTCTGGAGGATCAGGCTTCACTGTTCAGGAGACATAGCTTCATTACTACACTCATCTCTGGCAACAACCCACTTTGTCAACTCCAGCCACCATGTTGACCCTCTCATATTGCCAACCATTGTCATCAATATCATAGTCACCATGTGTCTTCTCTGTTGTCAATTCTGGTAGCTACCGTAGAAAACTATCTCATTACTTCCAAGTCTGACATCCCCATCATCACCAATGGCTGTCACTACAGTCACTGTCACCATCTCTTCATATCAACATCCCAAATTTCATCTTATCATCCCATCATCCCAACTCTATCCTCATACTGACCTGCATCCCAGTAACTAAGCCAATATGATGCCTCCATAGTTACCACTGTCACCCCCACTGTCACCTGGATTACCCCCTCCTACCCCAGCATCACACACTCCCCCAAGCCTGGTTTTTCACTTCAACTTTTCCAGTTCCAAACTAAGACCTGGGTCAAGAGTAAAAGAGTCCACAGGTGTTGCAGATCTGGAGGTAGGCTGGGGATCTGATGGGAGTGCCTAAGGGCCCACCTTATGTAGAAATACTCTGGCTAGGGATCCAGTCATGGGGTCTGGGGAGAAGACAGGGGCAGGCAGAAGATCTGGCTGGGGCGGAGGAATAGCAGGCAGAAAGCCTGCCTGGAATAGGGCAGGGGCAGGTAGAGGGACTGGCTGGGATGGGGGCGTCAGGGGGAGGATGGTATCTGTCCCAGTCCTGTCTCCTGTTCTGACACCTCATTCATCACAGGCCGTAAGGAAGCCATTAGAGTTGGGGGGGGGTGGAGGCTGCAGCTGCACACGGGTCTGGCCCAGCCTGCCCCCGCTTCCCCCTGCTGCATGTTCTGGGAGCCAGAAAAATGATCAGAAGAGGTGCTATACAGGTCTCTCGGCCCTTCAGGTAAAGGACATTCACTTACACATTCACAGGTATATATGTCATGCATATATGTGCACATATATAGGCACTGCACATACTTGTGCAGAGGCATGTACATGCCATGTATACATTTGCATGCATGTGAACATCCCCACCAATGTTCATGTGCCTCTGGCACATATCCACTTACATTCCCACTGGAGTAGGCAGCAGGTTCCCCCAACCACCACACTTACCAATGGTGAACTCGTCAAAGGTGATAGCTGTGGCATTGTGGCCCAGGGCATTGCTGACACTAATGGAGACCTTGTACTTGATGGTGGAGAACAGGTGCATGTAGCGAATGTGGCAGCGGTTCTTGAGGGCTGGGTCCTTCTCACAGACCATAATTTTGGAGCCATGCCTGGGGAGAGGTGAGGCCCAGGTACTGTTACCAACATCAAGGGTCAGATGGGGTAGAGGTTGAGGGAAGGTCAAGCCTAAGGCAGGGCTGGGGTATGGACGGAGGGCATGGTGGTGGGATGGGAGAGAGGTCAGAGGTCAGGGCTGGACCCGGGTCACAGGCACAGCTACTCACAGCACAGTCACATTGAAGTTGTTGGGAATGTAGGTGGGGGTGGGCAGATGCCAGCTGCAGTAGAAGCCCTTGGGGTAAGTGTTGGAGCGGCAGCTGAGCACAGGCTCCCGCGGCGGCACTGGGGGTGAGGACAGTATGGTCAGGGCATTCTTGGAGCTCCCAGTCCCCTGCACTGTATGGGGACAGGTGGGCCCCAGAGCCCCAGCTCTCCCCCCTCAACCCATCATCGATGCCAAAGTTGTGGGGGGGAGGCTGTCAGCGAGGGTCTGAGGCTTCCCAGGCCACAGAGAGCCAGATGTTTAATTAAAGAAAAACAAGGGCTGTGCGGACAGGGAACCCCCCCTCCACCTGCTCAATGGAGGCAGGAACCGTGGGGAGCAGGGGGCTGCGGGCCTCAACTCATCAATCACAGGCTGGAGGTGATGTCTGGGGGAATCGGCCCCAGCCCCACATCCCCTGCCACTTTGTGTCCACTCCCAGAGGAAGACTGTGCTGCGGAGACGAGGGGAGTCTTGAATGGGTCCTCCGACTGCTGGAGTATCGGGTGCACTTCCTGGAGAAGAGACACCCCAGACTTCCCTCAGTAGAGATGGAGACACAAGGACAGGCCTGGTGGCTACACATGAACGGCACTGGGCAGCTGTTTGTATGCATATCTGTGTTTGTAGATGTCTGCATGCAGGGGTATACATGCTACATACATGTCTCTATGTGACATGAATGAGTGACCAAGGATCCATAGGAGCAGCTATGTGGATGTGTGTGAATCTGCGTGTCTGTGTGATTGTGTGTACAAGTGCCTGTTGAAAGGAAGCTGCTGTTCCCTTTGTGTGTACCTCATCCCAGTGCCAGCCCCCAGCATCTTCATCGAAGACCCTTTAAGAAGCCCTTTACATGGTAAGCAGCTGCCCTCACTCTGGAATAGGAAGGCCGAGAGAGGGATAGGGACCTCTCAAGGTCAGATAGTAAGCCAGAGCTGGGACTAAACCCCAGGACAGGGGTAACCCTATATACACACACTTGGGAAGTCCTTTCTGCAGTCTAGCCCGCACTCTTTTTTGCTGCCGTGAGCACTTAGCCCAGCTGTCCCACCCTCAGGCATTGGGTAAGGCGTGAGGACAGGCGGCTCAGGTTCCTGGAAGGAGGCAGCTTATGTGATCTGACCCAAGCAAGGAATGTCCGTCTGTGGCTCCAGGGACACTGACACCTCCCTCCTGTGCCTCCCCCCTCCTCCGCCCCCGGCCTGACAGGTGGACAGGAAATGGGAGGGGGGCAGCTCAATAAGCCAGGGACAGTGAAGGGGAGTGCATGTCTATGCTTGTAGAGTGGCCATGGTGACACAGGGGAACAGTGGGCTTCCATCCACAGTGTGCACGTGACTGTGAGTGACTCTGTGTGATTACATGTGCGTGGCCAGTATGTGTGATGCTGGGAGGGGCCTGGGGCAGAACCCCCAGGATCCAGATCTCGCTTTGCAGCAGAAGAGATGAGGGGACAGAGAGGCATCAGGAGAACTCCAGGTGGAGGGGGCAATGCTGTGGGCGGAGGCAGCTCCATTCCCCAGGCCTGTCGGGGAAAGCAGAGCCCAGCTGAGACCCCACAGGGCCAACCTGCGTTCTGCCCTCCACTGTCCTCCTCCCTTGGGAAGCCTTCCAGGCCCTGTGTCCATCTCGTGTCGTTCCATGTTCATCCTGTGTGCCTTTAGTGTCTCTTCCCTGTCTGCCCATGGGTGTAGAACTCTGCCTGGGGGTGGGGTGGGGGGCGGCCAAGGACACAGGAAGTGCCTTCTGGGGGCCTGTTGGCCAGGCCAGAGTTGGCAGCCACCCCAGGAGGAAAGGACATTCCGAGGTCGGCCGAGAAGCCTCCACTCCCCGCTCCTGCCACCGCCCCCCTTACCCCCAGGAAGGGGAAGGGCGCTGGGGGTGGGGTGGGGATCAGAGCCTGCAGAGTCAGCTCCCTGCTGCCCGGGACTCCTCGGAGGGCAGAGCGGGCCACAGCACTGGACTCACAGGCCCCCACCCCCGGCCAGCCTCCCTACTGACCAGGCTCCTCCACTCCCCAACTGTCCTCCCCCCTCAGACCAGCCTCCCCTTCCAACCTCCCCCTCACGCCAGTTCCTCTCCCTGACTGGGGAGGTCACGGTGGGGTGGGGGTTGGGGGGCCGACTGGGGGCTTTGTCTGTCATCTGGCTACTCCTGCCTGGCCCTGGGCCCTGAGCAGGGAAGGGCTTGGGTTTCCTGACAGGGACCAGGTTTCTCAGAGGGAAAAGGAGGAAAGAAAAACAAAAGGAAGAAAAGGAGTGACTTGCTGCAGCTGGAGCCCAGCTGAGGGGCCGGGTGGGTGGAGGTGGGGGTGCTGTGAGATTGTAGGACAGTGTGGGATCAGGATGCCTGTTGTGAGTGTGTTGTGAGTTGGAGGAAAAGCTGTTTTTAAGAAGCTGTGATTGCAAGGCTGTGTGTAACTGTGAGAGGCTCCGTGTGTGTGACTGTGAGACTCTGGGCAGTTGTGTAACTGTATGATGGGAGGCTGTGTGGGACTGGATGACTGTGTTTGCACATGACTCAGGGTGAGGCTGTTCAATTTTGAGACCGTCCCTATGTGCAAGGCTGTGTGGCCAAGGTACTCTGTAAGAGTGCCTGCAAATGTGCCATTGTGTCTGAACACAGAGACAGCTAGAGCTCATACATGAGGCAGTGCATATGTCATGGAGCAAAGTGAGGCTGAATGTATTTTGCAAACTGTGCGTGTGGAAGGTGCCCAGAATTCCCAGCATGTTCACACGTATGAACTGAACACCGTGTGAGTGCATGTTAGAGTGTGTGAGCAAACGCTCCTATGCACACAGGTCACAGTATCAGGCTCTGGGCATACAGGGCATCTGGGTTGCCCCTTGGGGGTCTCTTGAGATACCCAAGTGACTGTGTCAGCCTGTGGCAGGGTGTCGCTAGGTCCCATGCGGGGCCGTGTGCACGTGTGCATGCGTGCGTGTGCCCCCACTGGCCCAGGATTTGTTTGTTTTCCTCCTAATTGACTTGTTTTTCCATGTCCAGCCCACCAAACCGCATGTTTTTCCTCTCATCTCGCCAGCCCGCCTGGGCTGGAGCCCCCGGCACGCATGAGGCCTGCCCGCCGGCCCAGAGAGGAGGAGGGGCAAGCTGCCCACACCCTAGGCCAGGCCCGATCAGGCAGGGTGGGGCAGGGTGACCCTTCCACTCCAGCCCTACCCACGCCCCACCCGCATGCCACCTCCTGCCTGGCATTCGAGGCTCAGGCCTGGTTCAACCTTATCTCGTGGCATCCCTTGAGGCATTCCAACTTCTGGATTCCCAAATGCCCCGCCGACCTCCCACTTGTGATTTCTCCCCAGACATTTTCTTTGACCATAGCCTTCTCCCCACGCTTTCCTTTCCAGCCAAACAGGGCTACAGGGAAAGGAGTGCTGAACCAGGGGATCCAGAGCTTCCATCCTAACCAATCAAATAAAAGTTTTAAAAAACTGGACAAGGAACTGTCCATTTAAAAATCATTTTAATCTCTGGTTTGTTTTAGTTTAAGATCAGAATGATACAGAATCAGCAGTGTCTTATAAATAAAATGATGCTACTAAAAGGAACACTGTGATCCTGCTTCCTAATGTGGGGGGTCGTTCCGTCATCCTAGGGAGGAGAGGAGTCCTTAGGGCTCTGCTCGTGAGGATCCACTTGAGAGCAAGAAGGCAGATCAGGAGAAAGCAGTTCAGGGATTAGCCTGGTTAAGGAGACTTTCAACAGAATACTGTTAAGACCAAGTTCCCTTGTAAATAGAGACATAAAAATTGCACATGTTTAGGATAAATATTAAATAATTTTTGGTTTGAATGACCCACAAATCAGGGGTAACTCTGTCCTGTTCTCTGACAGCTGGCAGGAAGGATAATTTGATATTGAGTGTTGCCAAAGCCAGTCTCTTGTTACTAATATAAAGTGACTGAGACGATAATGATTAATATCCCCTGTTCCTCTGACCAGGTCTTTAGAAGGAAATAATGCAATGAGAGATAAGTACCTGAAACTAATGCTACAGCCAACTCATGGCCAGCCTTCCTCTGGCAGCAGGGCCTGGAGGGCAGCGAGCACTCTATATAAAAGGTCTGGGCCCTGGTTACAACAGGGCAGCTGTGGGCATGTCCTGTGGGTATAGACTACGGACATTACTTCAAGACCTAATTCCCCTCCAACGACCTCTCAAAGAAGATCACATCATCAGCAACAGGGGTCCAGGGCCACCAAGGCCCAGCCATCACAGCTAGCCTTGTCCATTCTGAGGACTTCTGGGACCCAAACTGAGAAGACAGGGATGTAGGTGACCAGTGCCAAGCTGGGTTCATCCTTTTTCCACAGCACTCAGTAAATGGCCCTTTTCCCTCTGTAAGGGCCTGGGGCTAGACTGAGTGCTCCACTTCTGATGGACCCCATAGTGGGCCAAGGAGAATTATTAGGCTGGTCCTGCATTTCTCAAGCTGGCCAACAGGGGTCACTCCACCTGTGGCTTGCAACTAAAATGTTGGGTTTTGACTGCCATCTCTTCAGTTTAGACACATTAAAGAATAACCAAAAAAAGGCCTTCCCGTGGGGAAAGGTACATTCCCACCAAAATACATTTTCACACCTCTTTAAGCCCCACAGGTGGGTCAGTGTTTTTGTGGAAGTCCCTGAACAACCCTTCAGCCTAACATTTTGCATGGTGGTCTATGCTAGTCTTCTGACAACGAGGCAAGTGTCTGCTCCCAGATCCCTTAAACATCTCTTAGGGAGCTTCTAGGGAATGAGGAGATGATTTTTGGGCAGTGGGGTGAACCATACCCAAATAAAATGAGGCCAGAGGAGCTTGAATCATTGGCTCAGGAGAAAAGAAATGAAGAAATGGAACTATGTTCAGAGTACTCACTCTGTTGGTAGGTACCTGCAGCTGGGATCTGGATGCCTGCCCACCTCACCCTCAGCAATGGTGATGGCCTTGTCATTCTGACTTCTCCAGATCCCTCTTCCAAATCACACTCACCTGGTCTTCCCTCTACCTTCTTGCTGGCTCCTTCTTATTTCTTTTTGTGGCTCATTTCCCTCCATCGACCTCTTTACATGCTGATGGTCTTTAGGGCTCAGTTCTGGGTCCTCTTCTCTCTTCACTCCACGATCTCTCCCTTGGCCATCTCACCCCCTCCCATGGCCTTAATGCTGACAACCCCCCACAAATATCCATATCCAGCAGAGGCCTCTCCCCAAATCCCAGACACTCAGACCCACTGGTTACCAGCCATCTCAACTCCCAGTTGTCCTCCAAGGATACCACTGAACAGGTCTGCAGCAGATGTCTAGGGAGCCGCAGATCCCTTGCCCATACTATTAATACTTCTCACTCCCAAATTCTGCAGTTATTCGCCTAAGAGCCTTCTTTTGCTTTGCCTGCTGGGACATCAGGTCAAAAGTGCTGGGGAATCAAAGCGCCGCCCTCCCACCCCAGGTGAATCTCTCAACCACTGATGGGCAGGAGCTAGTATATACACATCCCAGCTCCCTTACCCTCAAGCAGGGCAACTCAGGTGCATGTTCTGCATCTGCACCTTCAGTGGTTAACGTCAGTCGCCAAGAGGCAATGTCTGGATAACTTACTCTTTATTGACTAACTTAACTTCCTTTTTATATGTCACTTTCCCATTCCTTTATGGTATTTCCCTCACCTGCCAAATAAACTACTTGCATAAGAATTCTCATCTTGGGATCTGATTCTAGGGAAACCCAAACTAAGACACTGTTCAAACAGCACACATTATCTTTTCCTTCTGTTTTCTTCCTGTTGCAGTCATGAATCCCTCCAGCTGTCTTGACTCCTCTCACCCTCTACTCTCCTGTCCTTCCCACCTCTAATCCATCACCAATTCCTGGAGGTCCAACTGCCGCTTCTCAGCTTCCCCAGCTCCATGCCCTGGTTCTAGGTCCTCATCCTCTCTCCTGCATCCAGTAACAGCCTCCTTCATACCTTGGTTTTTCTCCATCCAATCTGCCTCCCTCCACTCAGAGTGATCTTTTAGGAACATGACCCAGAAATTGTCACTGCCCAGCTTCCAGGATCATGATCTGCCCCCCTGTCCCTTCCTTCAGCTCTCTCTTCACATAGACACCAGCCCAAGTGGCCTTTATGTGCCCTCCCAGCTGCTAAGGCCTACAGTCACACCCAGCTCTCTGCCAGAAATGATGTTTCAATGCGTCTTCTAAATCACCATTCGCTTCCCAAGTCTCCATTCATTTCCCACTCCAGGATGCCTTCCTCCTTCCCTGGGGCCTCCTGGAGCGCCTTGCCTATACCTGTATAACTACATATCCCAATTCCCTCCCTGAGGCCCTCTGACCAGCCCTTGTGGGAGCAGACACAGTGAGGCTCCTCCAGCTCAGATCCGTGACCTGAGGGTCTCTCCCCACTCATGTCCCAGGTAAGCCATGCCTTACCAGCTCTCTGCCCACGTTGTCAGAGGGAATAGGGTTTTAGGATACCTAAGACCTCCACGGGGGTGGGATCATGGGCAAACTGTCTAGGGGTCTGGACTCAGTGGGCAAGACTGGGCTAAGAGGCCAGAAGAGTGGGCCAGGACAGAATCAGAGGGCAAGGGTCAGGCTGCAGCTCTCCCCTCTCCGTGTCCCCCTAACAGGAAGGGGACTTGATCTGGGCTAGGAGTCTGGGTCTCAAGGAAGGAGGGAGGCTGAATGAGGGGTGGGGGCAACACTTACAGCCCACATGCAGCAGGACTTGGTGGCGCAGGTGCCAGGAGTCACGGTGGAAGCAGGCGTACAGGCCACTGTGGCCCAGTTCCAGGCCACGGAGCACCAGCTGAGAGCCGTTGAGCAGGTCAGGGGCCAGGTCTGTCCCATTTACCCGCCACGTCACTGCTGCATCCCAGTTTGCTGTCCCACATGGCAGTGTCACGTCGGAGCCCAGGCGCTCGTACTGCACATGGGGTGCCTCTGTGGGGGGCGGGGGCAGAGGCCAAAAGTCACAGGTCACAGCCCTGCCCAGCACTCCCAGGTGAATGTGCTCAGACAAGAGCCTGTGAGGATGCATGAGTGAGGACAAGAGGCTCGGTGTCTGACTGTGTGAGTGTCTTGGGGAAATGGAGAGTGTTCAAGTGTGCAAGTGTGTGGGTATATGAGTGTCTCCAAATGTATGTGTGTGCATGTACAGGGGCTAGGTGTATGACTGGGCAATCTTCTGTGTGTGTGTGTTTGCATGTGACAGAGTTTGCATAATGCTGAGAGGGGTCAGTTCTCAGAGAAAACCCAGTTCCTCTCCAGTGCCTGGGTTTTTTAAAGTTTCCTGACCCCCATGACCCTGACTCTTGCCACCCACAGGCTCAGCCCAGTCACTGACGTCCATTACCCAGGCAAGCTGGCACTGAGGGGCCCCACTCCTGGACTCCTTTTTCTGTCTCCCTATCTATTTCTCTTCCCCACCCTATCTTTGTCTCTTTCTGTCCTGTCTCTATCCCCACCTCCCCCATCTCTCTTCCTGTCTCTCTCCTTTTCCTCCGTCTGCCCAGCCTGCCATCCCACAACAACCTGCCCCTCAGCCATCCGGGGCTCAGGTAGCAGCAGGAGAAGGGAGAATGGGCAGCAGGGAACCCTAGGGAACTCCTAGCAGATGTCAAGTTCACAAGGCAGGAACTACTTAGGGCAGGTTGGGGTCTTGAGGGGTGCGGTGCTGCTGGGATGAAGCGAGCACTCTGACCATTCATCTCCTGCCCCCAGGAGCAGCCTGTCAGAGCCAAAATCAAACCCCAGCCCTGGCTTCAGCAACCCAGGCGTGATGAACGGAGCCCAGGAGACTGGAAATGGAAGGGTGAAGGCGAGCACCTGTCGACAGGCAGCGCGAAGTGAGGGAAGCAAGCAGGGCAGAGAGGCATATTTAAGATGCAGGCACATAGAGACAGGGAGATGGGAATCTCAAGACACCCCCTTCTCATTCTACCCCCTGAGCTTGAGGGACAGACATTTTCCAGGTCTTGGCCAGATCTGTGGAGTGAAGGTGGGAGAGGAGAAGGGAAGGGGGAGGGGGTAGCAGTTTGGTGGGGGCTGCAGGATCCCTCGTTAACACTTGCTTACATCTCCCCTCCAGAGAGTCACCCTGCTGAGCTGGGGAATTTTCAGAGGCAATTCCTGTTAACGAGCCAATTAAGTTGGGCCAGTGGCCTCTTAATTAGACTTGTTAACACCACCAAGACTGCAGGGGTATAGGGATCCCCCTTGGACCCACTGGCCACCCCCTCCCCCCACTGCAGCCCCCTCCTCAGCACTGCTTTTCTCTGCGCTGGAACGTCTGTCCTGGTTTGCTGCCTCTGTTGTCCTCGCTGTGCCAGGGTCTCTCTGTGACTCTGGGTCTCTCTCCCTCGCTGCCTGTCTCTATCCTGCCCCTCTCTGAGCCTCGCTGTCCCTGTCAGAGGAGAAGGAAGCAGAAAACCCAGCCAGCCCTGACCACTCGTCTGTGGAGCCTGGGACCAGCCGAACAGAGGATGAACGGGCGGAAGGGCGGTGGCTAGGGGCCTTGGAGGCCACAGCTGTGAGGCTGGACCAGACACTAAACAGGGGCCTCCCCCTGACCAGAGGCCCAGTGTCCAAGACTCCGGCCACCGAGCCCCCCCAACAGTCCACCAGCTCCAGTCACTGAGCCCCCCTCCAGCCTCCCTTCCAAAAACCTGGAGCTTCCAGGAAACATGCCAAGCCCCTCTCTCTGCACCCCCTAGCAGAGACTTTGCATCCAGCTGCCTGAGGAGGAAGCTGAAAACTGACCTTTGGGGAGGGGGTGTGGCCATCATGGTCCCAGCAGCAACACATCAACACTGACCAGGCAGTTCAATGCTAACATGGACCCAGTGTGGCCCTTAATCCTGGGAAGCAGGTACAGTCACCACACAAGGACACAGCGACCCAACATCACATTATACAATGGCTATGGGATAACACCTCCCCACCATACCTCGTCTGCTCCACAAAAAAAGTAGAAACACAACCTGACAGTAATGACAAACCGATGATGTAAGGGCAGGGCAGGATGAAAAAATGACAACACAATGGCAGAAGACAATGACAGGCCACAATGGAGAGGTGGAGGGGCAAAAGGACATAACAAGCACACAGTGTCACAACCGCTACAATAACACAACAATGGCAATACACACAGCCATGCAACTGCTCCAAAGATGGCAGTGATTTAATCTTTTGTCTCTGGACAGCTCTGCTCCCGCCCCGTGGGTGCCCCTACTGATGTGCTGTCCATTTCAGAAATTAAATCAAGCAGAAGGGGGAGGATGGGGTTCTTGGCCCTGACGCGGTGACAAATGCTCCAAAGGAATCAGCTGTGAAAAGGTTGTTAGAAGCCAGGATGAGAGACAGAGACAGGATGAGGTCATGGACATGGAGAACACAGAGGGACAGAGCTGACGGCTCCCTCACACCTGCACACACAGCCTCACAGGGGGACCACATGCCAGAAACAGTCCCCCCAGGCATCCTAAAGCAACTTCACTTTGCCACATACACAGGAACAAGGGCAGTCACCCCTAAAGAAGAAGGACATGCAGGACAGTCATCCACAAGGCCACAGTCACAAGTTCACAGTCACACAGGGACACTGTCTCACTTCAGGGATGGTGACACCTGATACGAGATCACACGTACACATACAAGAAGGGCACCATCACCCGGAGGCACAGCAGTTCCCCCCAGGGACACAGGGAGACAGTTTAATACAAACACACGAAGAGAGATAGAGAGATACAATTACATGTGGAGTACAGTCTCAAACGCAAGGATACAGCCCACAAAGGGCATGCAGACAGGCAATGTGACACAGACAGACAGTGTCACACGTGAGGAACAGCCCACAAGAATACAGCCACACAGAGAAATGCACTCAAACAGGGACACGCTCTCACCCTCACAAGAACACAATCTCACAGTCTCAGACAGGTGGCCTTATGTCCAGGACCATGGGGGCACAAGGTAGAGACCACTGGCAGGCCCTAGGGACGCCCAGTCAATGCCCCTGGGGGTGGCCAGGATCTCTCTGGGTCTCACTGTTGATCTCATAAAGAAGAGGCCATAGAAGCTTCGACTCACTACTCACAGCCTTGAGGGTGGCAGAGCCCAGCCACCAGGGTCTGCTCCATGCCTAGTTCCTGGAGAGGCCTTCACCCTCTCTGCTTTCACCCAACCTGACTGACACAGAGTATGAGGTGGGAATCATGCAGGCAGGGAGCTTAGGGAGCCTCGTTCAAGGTGAGTTTTGAGTTCAGACCCTCAGCTGATGTTGCTGTTTGAGGTGCTGCCTCAAGTGCAGTAGAGGGGCAGGAGGTCAAGTTAAGAGGGCCCCTGTTTCTCCCCGCAGGGACACGGTTCCTTGTCCTGTGGGCTGTGGGCAGGCCTTGCCCCTCACTGGAGAAATAGGTAGAGGGAGGGCAGGGAGGCTGCCAATGGCTGAGCCCTGAGCTCTCCCCTGTGTGGCCATCCCAGCTGACTAACCTGTCCCTTCCTTAGTGCACTAGCTCTCTCCTGCATGTTACCCTGTCCCCTCATCTTGTTCCCAGTCAGTCCACCTTCTCTGTCCCTATCCTCCCTCTGGGATGAAGCTGAAGGTAGAAGGTGACCTGCAGTCTTGCCCACTGTCTCCAATCAGTGCCTCCAACTGCACCCCCACAAATCTCCGAGAGATCCCCTTTCACCCAGATACAATACACAGGTCCTGCCCCAGCCTCCCCCACCAATTCCCATCCCACCTGCCTGTACCCTATGCCACCCTAGTAAGAAGACAGATCACCTCAAGCCAGAGACACTGTCAGCATTCGACCACCCAGGTGTGACTGTGGAGGACTGTGCATATCAGTGTCACATGACTCCATGTCCCTCTGGGTGGTCATGTGTGACAATGCCAGTGTGTGACTCTTGGGTGCTGTCAGGATGCAGCTATGCCAGTGAGGGTTCATGTCCAGCTCTGAGATGGGGGTCAGCAGGCAGCTCCCGGGAGCACTCACCCTGTGGACTGTGTCTCTGGGTGTAGACAACTGCAGCGGCAGCAGCAAGCACAGCACAGCAGGCCCACGGGACAGGAGCAGCCATCTGTTGGGAGAAACCAGGGTGGGGGAGGAGACAGCATCAGCCCAGGCAGCACTGTCCTGGGGAGCCCCTCCTGTTCTTAGGCAAGACTGGGAAATCCCAGCCCTAGGGCCAGGGCATCTTGACCCCAAAATGCCCTTCTTAATGGGGCTCAAGATCTTCTTTCAGGCAATAGAAAGCAACATTATTGGCATCTGTAGGCAAAGGTTTGCTAAGATGGTAGAAGGCAACCTATGGTGGTTTGCTGTTCGATAAGACTGCTGGCTACACAGCATTGTCAACCGCAAATGAGTTATAGAATATTGGTAATGCCAGGGCCATTTTTCTAAAAAAAAAAAAAAATAGTAACTTTACTGGTGAGGTTAGCTAATTAGCTATAAACATCGTAAACTGAAAGGGTAATGTTTTAATTTAATTGGAGATCTATACTTCTCCAGATTGCTTTGAATGGAAGCCCCCTGTTATGCTCCTGGGGAGATAGCCTGAAACCTGGATGCTCCAGAGCCGCTCAGATCCGTCATCTGTCCCCAACAGCCCTGCGGCAAGCCTTGCCACTGGGCCCTGGGAAGCTCCGAGCAGTCGAGTCAGGGTAGTGGGACATGACCCAGGTCAGATGTGACTTTTCCGTAATTGTACACCAATGCTCAAGAGAAAATGAAGGATTTTAATATGTAAGTCCTTGTCAGGGACCCTGGCCCACCCTGACCCCAGCCATGTGCCCCTAGGAGCCTGGGAACCCCAGCCCAGTAGGTGTGCATCAGTGTCCACATGCACCCACGCAAGTACACAGGATGCAGTCAGGACATGGCCCCAGAAGCCAGATGGATCTAGTGCCCCCCAACCTGATGTCCTGTTTCCTGAGATGAGTCCAACTATTCTCTTCCCCTCCCCCAGCACACATCTACACTTGATGGCAGGGAAATAATTATTTCCTGCAGAATGGGCCGCAAATGTAACAACCACCCCCCGCCCCGACCTTCAGTCTGAGGAGAGAGAACTATCAACCACACAGAAGCAAAGATCCAGAGAAACACTGAGGGATGCTATCAGACACTCAACCAGGGCCACCCTCTGATTCCAGCCAGCCACATAGCAAAGATGCTGGCCAGGGACACTGCCCCAAACCACCAGACAGGACCCCAAAGAAACAGCTCCACACATAGTGGAAGATACACCAGAGACTGTTAGAAGGACCATCAGACAAAGCCAAAGAGACAGGTAGATGAAACCAGATAGCCAGCCAAAGAGGTGGTCAGAGAACAATGACTCAATCAAAGGACCCGCCAGAAACACTGGAAAGGACTCAGCTAGACCCAGGCAAACACAGTGCCGAAGGACGGGCAAGGAGCACAGGCAGTGAAGCTGTCGGCGACAAAGCCAGAGAGCTAAGACACTGTCAGAAACAGTGCCAGAGAAACCGTCTGACACACAAGCAGAGAAATACCAGAGAAACTGATAGACACAAACAGGCATACACCCAGAAAAACAGCTCAAGAAAAGAGCCAGAGCCACAGCCAGATGCTCAGTCAGGAAGTATCCACACCACTCCAAACACTGCTAGAGACACTGTCAGACACACAGTCAGACACACTGCCAGAGACACCGTTAGAAAGATGGCCAGAGAAACAGCCAGACACACAGCCAGAGAAACTGACAGAGACGCAGTGCCAGATACACCCCAAGAAAGTGCCAGAGACTCAGCTCCAGACGGTGCAGACATAGCATAGCAGAGACAAATGTGGGTATCAGCCTGAAGTAGCTGTGGAGAGGTTGGAGAGCAACAGACTTCCTGGGGCTTCCTGTGGGAGAGGGCTCCTGCCTGCCTTTTGCGACCCTTGACCTTCTCCAGGAAAGTCCCCTCCTCTGAGCCTGCTTTTCCTTTCCTCCCTGTCACAGCCACAGGTGCCCTGACTGCCCCTCCCTGGCACAGCAAATCTTTCTGTGTCCCAAGTGGCCCCAGCTACTCTCTGCACATCAGTGACTCCTGGAGCCTTAGCTACCATCTGGCCTGGCTCCTTCTGACCCTCACCCCCTCCCCACTCTTCAGCTACTCCTCAGGCCTAGGAGGTTAAGACAATGGCCAAAGTTACAGTCAGCAAGCGGTGGAGCCAGGAAAAGAACCCAGGACTGCCTGAATTCAGAGGTGGTGTAAGAGAGAGAAAAAGAGACCAGCAGCCAGAGGCCTACCTGGTTCCCTGACCTCAGCCCTGGCCAGTCGCCCTCAGACCCTCCCCCACTGCCTCTGCCATCTGTCCATGTCTTTCTCCTCACAGCCAGGAAGATCCTCCGCCTTGGTCCCAGGCCCACTGCCCACCACATGGGAACAGGAACCAGGGCATGGGCAGGCAGAAGAGCAGGCAGAGTGGCTGAGGTTAGATCCAAAGATGGGAGTGTTCAGGGAGAGGAGGAACCGATGGCCTCTACTCCCAGCTCCCTCCTGGTCCACACAAGCACACACTCCCACGTGCATGCGTGCACACGCACACACACTCACACACACACACTCAGGCCCCCGCAGGGGGAGGGGTGGCTTCTTCATCAAAGTCGCCTCCATCAGCCCGATGAGTTACTGTAAGGGCCGGGCCCTGGGCCAGCAGGGCTGCAGCCACGGGAGACGGGCACTGCTGAGAGTGAGTGCTGCAGAATGGGGGTGGGGTGCCAAGACAGACACTGCAGGGTTGGGGGCACCCAGAAAAGGGAGAGACTCAGGGAGGGGAAACAAGAGGCAGGGAGAGAGAAGGAGCTCTGAGTGGAGACCCAGAGGGACAAGGAGAAGCTGACATAGGAAGAAATAGAAGAGACGCAGGGGGAAAGATGGGGCACATAGGAGATGGGCAGAGACTCAAGGGCAGAGGAACAGATCCAGAGAGAAGGGAGGAGACCCCTGAGAGGGTCTCTGCCCACCCTAGAGCATCTCCGTGGCCTGCCCAGCTCCTCTAGCACAAAGGAGGATGGGATGGTGGTCAATGCTATGTGAGACAAGAGCAGGGCCCTCCTGGAGGCTGGAAGGATTCTTTCTGGGGATCCAGGACCCCAGCCCCTAGGGGACAAGGGTGAAACCCCATCCATGCCCCTGCCCTGCAGATCCAGAAAGCCCCAGGCCAGTGTCACTTCCCCCTTTCCTCAGACTCCCAACTGGGCCCACTGCCCAGGTCGGAGGTTGAGGCCAGAGGCATCCAGGACACACCTCCATCCTGCCTTGGCTCATTCCAGGCCACCCATCCCAGGGTAAAGAGCATCTTTCCTGAGAATTTTCCAAGTCCACACCCTATGGCTCTGGGATAGATCTGCAGGATGAATCCCATAGAGCCCCAGATAAGGGCTATGCAAACTGGCCCAGGCTTCCTATCAGCCCCTTGAAGAGATCAGCCCCAGAATGAGGAGGGAACAGAGGGGATACCCCGTAAGCAAGAAAGGAGCCCAGCGCCCAGAAGCCCCTGAATCCCTTGTCAGCACAAGGGTCCCTGCACCTATCCCAGCAAAGAACCCCAGTGTCATCATTACTCCCACACAGGTAACACATTAAGTGTCAAATTCTGGGGTCCCAACTTACTGCCATTGTCCCGCTGTGGCATAAAGACACCATTACACAATGATAATGCCCATTGAAAATGACACAGTTGTACCATTGACAATGACACACAGGGATGTTGACAGTCACCACAATGACAATAATGCAGTGAGTGACAGTCACATACATTGACACCAACAAACAGGGCAATGATACCGGTTGACAATGACACAGTCACAGTGACAGTAGCCTCAGAATCAAAGATGCAATGAGACTCCGTCACATAGAGTAACACTGATGGTGACATCAACACAGTGACACAGCGATGTTGATGGACTCAGTAACAGTCTCACAGAATGATACTAGTCCACAGTAATACTGGCACCCCTGGAGTCTGACAGCCGCCATCAGTAACACTGACAGACACTATGACAGGCTCCAGGTCAGGAACCTCTATTACCCAGTTTAAGAATCTGGCTTAGGACCCAAGACCCAAGAACTGTCTTGCCAGTCCCAGCAATGTTCCAGTTGCCCTGTGCCCCTCCCCTCACCCCATGCCTAGCTGAGGGTAGAACCTGGGGAAAGGAGGTGAGTTTTGGAAAGCTTCTATTTATCCCTGCAGAATCACAGACAGCAGTTTAGATTGTAGAAGGCCAACCCTGGGGAAGTCCTGCCACCATCAGGTCAGGGTGGGGGATAATGAGCACCACTAACTGCATTTCAGCTATAATTGTGTGTGCGTGTTGATATGTAATAGTGTGTTGTGAACTTCAGGGTTTGGGTTGCTGTGGGCATGCTGAGGGTCAGGTAGGCTCAGTCTTGCCTGGACAATGAATGATCAGGGAGGCCTCAAAACAAGTGACCTCAAAGCAAGGTTATTGTTCCATCTCCGAGGCAGGGAATTGAAATCTAGGGAAGGTCACCAGATGGACTCCCTCCATTGCCAGGGATCAGGGTGGGTTCAGAACATCCATCTGATAAGGGCATCTGGCCCAGCACAGAGCGGAGGGGACTCCCCACAGCTTCCAGTCCCCTCTCTGACTCCCACAGCCCAGACTCCAGAATCCCACAGTGAGGGGAAAAGGCACCTTTTATCCTGGGGCCTCATCTCCTTCACCTCTCCCCACAGCAGCCTAGAGGACCCATCTCAGGAATGAGGCAAGAACACAGGACACAGCATGGACTCACTGATTCAAACGCCTGGGGACTCTAGAAGCCTCAGACCTGCAGAGGAATTACGTTGGAGCAGAGAAAGAGAGATACATAGACTTGGAGAAGGAAATGAGAGACAGAGCGGGGGCAAAGACAGGGACAAGGACATGGTGGGCAGGGAGGAACAGTACTGGCTGAGGGAGAGCCTGGAAGAGACAGGGCAGGCGGGAAGCTCCAGGATGGGGAGGAGGGGCTGAGGCTGGGAGGCCCCCAAATCCCACCAGGCCTAGGCAGCCTGGACAGCGTGGGCGGTGGGGGCGGGGGCAGAGGCCTGAGCGGTCCAGAAGCTTGGGGGGTGGGGGGACCAGGCCGATGAGGGAGGCCTGGCCCCTGGCAGCTGGCCCAGCAAGCCCCCCACCAGGGAGGGGTGGGCCTAGGTCAGGGGCCAGCTCGTGGGCTGGGGCTGGCTGGCCATGGGCGGGCAGGCTCCCACTCCCTATGGTGTTTCTCCCTCCTGTCTCTGAATCTCTGGTCTCTAGCCCCTTCTCTTTTCCCTCCTCTCTGAATCCAGACCTGCCTCTCCTCTCAGCTCTCTCAGAGACCCCACCCCAAGTGGCATAGGGCTCCAAGCTGTGCCTGGGTTGAGGATTCAAGATTTACCTCCTCCTGGGCTACCATGTCCCTACCCATACCAGGGGCAAGCCTCAGTCCTCAGGGGAAAGGACCCTACCCAAGCTTAGGCCCCGTCCTCCTCCTTAGAAGGGGGCAGGATAAGCCAAGCACCAGTAGGAGGGGGCCAGGAGGGAGGCAGGGGGAGCGGTCCCCCAGCTCTCAACGCTGGCTGAGGCTGTGGAAAAGGAGGCGGCCCAATTGAGTGAGTTGGGGGGGTGGGTATCCGCACCTGCTGTTGTGACCTCCACAGCCGGAGATGGAAGCCTGGGGGGGACAAGATTCCGATGGATTTTGGCAGCGGCCTGGACTCTAAGTGCTCAAAACCCCCACTCCCAGCCTTTTGCACCGTGGGGACCCTGAGATCAGCATGTGCGTGCCCTGCTGCACGTGTGTGCGGGCGTGTTGTTGGGGGAGCCTGGGGCCCTCCCATGATGGGCCTGGCCAGGCAGATGGGAAGGCATCCTGGGGAGATGGGAATCTGTCACCAGCCTGTGCCCACATGTGAAGGCCCACTTGGAGCCCTGCGTGCTGCCTGGTGACCTGGGCATGGGCTTGTATATGCACATACATGCAGGCCTGTGCTTAAGTAGCCCTTTAGATGCAGAAGGCCTGGGCTTTTACCCTCAGAAGTCATCTGGTCCAGCCCCCTTCCTCTTGAATGGAGAAGAGGAAGGGGCAGGTAAGTTCATATCCTCCCTTTGGATACATAGGCTCTGGAGAGCTTCACAGAACCTGAGGCACTGGTGCCAAATCCCCCAGCCCCCAACCCCAGTCCATTCTCTTCTGGATTCCACAAGAATCAGGAGGCCCCCTCCACCCAGGAAAGGCACACACTCCAGTCAGGTTAAGTCTGTGGGGAGCAGAGTGCTGCTCTTCTTGGAGGGACAGAATGCTGCAGCATGTTAGACAGCTGGAAGAACTCCATGAAAGGCAGGGGATGGGCAGAGCAATAGGGTTGACTAAGACTTTCCTTAGCAGGGGGGATGGGGTAGGGAAAGGCCCGAAGTGGATGCCAGGGACAGGAAGGAGGCTGCAAGGCAGGGCCCCCCATGGAGACAAGGATGGATAGAATGGCTTTCCAGAGTTGGAGACTGGGACAAAGACCTATTTGCCTCAGCATCTCCTACCACACCCACCCCTGGACCCATCACTGCTATGGTGCAGACACACCCTTGAATCCATACACAGAGGTCCAGGCATGCAAGCTCACACACACACACACACACACACACACACACACACACACACACACACTGGGGGGTGGCGGCAGCAGTGCATGTGATGCATTGGCTTGTAACAAAAAAAACCTGAAGCTGGTCATTCTGACAGAGCCAGAGTTGGGTGGGGGGAAAAGAAGCTTCGAATGTCTTCTGTGTTCTGTTCTCTCTGCCCCCTAACGTGCACGTGCACCATGCACGCTACTTCTGAGGAGCCTTCTGGTCTGCTGGGCAAGACCAAGCCATCCTTCCTCCCCTTTCCTCCCCTCCTCACAGTGAGGAAGCCAGAGCAATCTGTTCCTGATGGGTAAACACAGGCGTGAGTATGCGCACACACATGCTCACACACACCAGCCACTCAGGCCACACAGCGCCCAGTGCTCACTTTATCCTAAGATAGAGCACACACTTGGGTTCTCACTACACCCGGCAGAGCTCTCAAAGCCCCTGCCTCCTCAGACACACAGGACCAGAGCTTCACGGACACACCCAGGCAGCCTTTTGCAGACACTGGCATTCAGAGCCTACCATTGTGGCCACACATCAGGGCCTCCCACATGGATACCCACTCCCACAGCCCCGTACATGCTGGTGTGCATGCACACACACATTACAGTCACACTCACACACACAGACTCCCTCACACAGCCATGGTCTCACATATGGATACCATCACACACTCCAGTCAACCTTCCACACAGACACCATTGTACACCTCCAGAAGCTCAGGGCCCCCAGTCACCCTTGGCCCCTCACGCCCCGACACCAGCAATGGGAAACACCCACATACACACCCTGAACAGCCACACTGTGCCAGGACCTCAGGCTGCCTAGTTGTGCCTGAAGGGAGGGAGAGAAAGCCTAGGGTGGCCTAGGGCAGGAAAGAAAAGGAAATACTTTGTTGGTCCCTAAATAGATGATTATTCCCCAGGCAGCTCCTTCTTCCCCAAACCCTGCTTTCAACAGCATTAGGGGATGAAGGCAGATCCTCTCCATATAGGAGAGGTGAAGGAAGTACCTAGGGGAGACAGATGTTGGCACTGGAATCGGCAAGAGCCAGAAAGGCCCAGAAACCAGCCAACTCCCCAGGCCCTTGCTGCCTCCCCTCATGACCCTCTCTTTGCCACGATGAGGATCAGCAGCAGCTCTCAGCCTAGCTATCTGCTGTGTGATCCCAAGGCCTCTTCAAAACCTCTATATGCCCATAACTGTCTAGCGGGCACCCAGATGTCTGGCCTGGCTGCAGAAGGGGCAGGAGAGGGGAAGGAGATGGGACCTCCACTCCAGCCCCCCAGCCCCCACCAAAGCCCTGGCATCACTGGCAGCCCACAGAGAGGTAGGGCAGATGCCCAGTATCGGAGGGGGGGGCAGCAGGCAGAGCGAGCGGGTGCTCCTCTAACTACGGAGGAGGAGAGTCCTAAGGTGTCCTTGGACCCTGCAGCCCCGCCCCCATCACTGGAGGAGTAGATGCAGAGTCGCTGTCCAGGCAGAATGGAATCCAGGCTGTGCTGGCCAGGCCCCAGCCCAGGAAAGATCGGCAATGCTGTGGACATCCTTGCCACTTGCCACTCCAGGTGTAGCTGGGGCCCTGATGCCTCCATCCTAAAAGGAGCCTGACTTGACTCCATGGAAGCCAGGCAGGACCTAAAGAAATCAGGCAGGGGTAATGCCATAAAGCCAGGTGATAGGAACTTCGAGGAAGCGGGCAGTGGGGACAAAAGAAACCAGGCAGCGGGGTGTAAGGAAACCAGGTGACAGGGCCCCAAAGAAGGTAGGTGGTGGGAGCCAAATGAAACCAGGCAGTGGGGACTAAAGTTAGCTAGGAGGTGTGGACAAATGAAGCCAGGCTTTGGGGATCAAATTAAACCAGGCAAGAGGCCCACAGGATGTGAGAAAAGAAAGATATCAAGAGCTCATCCCCTCTGTCTAGATGTCACCCCCACACCCTGGGCCTCTCTCTCTGTAGTCCCCCTTCCACTCAGGCGGTGGTCCCCTCCCCCAGGCCGATGGACACAGCCAGAGCCCCCTCCCCTCTCAGAGGCCTGGTCCGATTGCAGCCAATGGGCCCCGGCCCCATCCCTGGGACCTCAGGAAGTCCCAGTCCCTCCCACCGGCTGCAGAGGCAGGGGGGCTGAGGGGAGAGAAAAAGAGAAGAGAGACAGCTTGGCAGGGGGAGCGCGCGGAGCAGCCGCGGGGGGCGGGGGCCAAGAAAGGAGCGGGAAGCCCCGAGGCGGGCTGGGCGGGCTGGCGGGTGGGCGCGGGGCGGGGGCGTCGCGGCGGTGGGGGTGACAAGTCTTCCGGCCCTGCGGCCACTGACCTGGGTCCCCACGCAGGCGCCCCGTCGGTGCCTCCGGCGCTCCGTGGGTCCGCCTGCCCGCCTGCGGGCATCGGGTCTGCGGGGCTGGGGCCCGGGCAGCCGCAACGACCCGGGAGGCAGGAGCAGCCCCCACAGCGGTCCCGGCGGGCGGGTGGGCGAGGGGCCGGGCCGCGCGGTGAGCGACGAGGGCCGAGCCCCGAGTGAGCGACCAGGCAAGCGGGCCGGGAGGAGGGGAGGAAGGAGCGCGCTGCAAGCGAACGAGCAAGCGAGCTGCGGAGGGAGAGTGAGGGACGGCATGCAGTGAGGTCATCCTTTGAATCTAATTGTCTGAGTCAGGAGGAGATGTGGCACTTGATGCTGGGGGAGGGGAGGCAGAAGGGACCCTCCCCGCTCCGGTCCAGGCCCCACTCCACACCCAGGGGCGGCCGGGGCCTCCCTTCCCCGGCCAAGGAGAAGTTGCCGCAGGCCAACTCGGGCAGACCACTGCCGGTCTCAGGGCTGACCTCTGCAGCCTGGGGCTATCAGCAAGCGGTGAGAGATGTGGGACCCGGCCCCAGCTCCGGGCTACCTTCCTCCTCCCGGGGTGACCACTCCCTCCCAAGGACCAGCTCACTTCCCCACATTTTTTAGGGCACGGGAGGTTCCCAGCCTACCCCCAGGTCCTATTCCAGGTCCTAGTCCTGCCCTCTGAGGATAAAGCAGGAACTTCAGCCAGCCTTCCAAGTTGCTTACTTTAGAAGTATGGGGCCCCAACTCTATTCCCCAAGTTACTTCCAGTGCTGGGAATTTGGGGGAATCTGGAAACTGAACCCCAGGCTCACCATCCTGCCCTCTGGGAATGACAGTACAATGCCACCCGTGCTCCAGTGACCTTCTGTATTTGGGATGAGGACCCCACATCCCCCTTCAGGAGGGGCAGGAGCAGGGCAACTCCTAGGGTCTCCGGGGAGGGACCAGGCTGCCCAGAGGGTGAGGGGCAGGTTGGTCGCTAGACCCTGGGCTTGTCAGGTGTGCACACCTGTACATATACACATGAGCACACGCACACGTGCACACGCACATGGGGTCGGGGGCACCAGACAGCTCGGGATGCTCACACCAAGGGCCGTACACCCCTCCCTTCGCCCCCGTGGGGGAGGGGTGATAAATATTTAAGGGGCTTTTAGCTCAAAAGGGGCTGGAATGGGGGAGGGAGGGGGATCCACGCTGCCTGATTAATGGGGTTACGGGCTTGGATCAATCCCTCCGCCCGCCGCTCCCTCCTCCCCCTGCTCCCTCCCTCTGCCTAATGCGCTTTATCAGGAGACGCTTTTCTGACTTGGCAGCGTCGGGCGTTTTAAATAGACCCATTTAGAGCTGGGGTTGGGGGAGAAGGAGGGGGGTGGAGAGACAGAGATTGAGACAGGCTGGGAGACAGAGACAAATCAGGAAAGAGAGATGGGCCCTAGAAGAGAGAGACTGGGAGAGGAGAGACAGAAGGAAATGCAGAGATACCATCGAGATAAGACACTGAGGGTGAGGCTCCCACAGAGGCTGAGATGGAGAGAGAGAGGGTGATGGAGAGAGAAAGGGTGATGGGAGGTCAAAGGAAGCTGGGGGCCTGAGGAGCAGAAACAAACAAAAAGAGAGACAGGGAGGAAAGGAACCATGGGCAGCGGGGAGAAACCCAGAGAGAGGCTCTCCACAAGGGCTGAGTGCTAGCCTGGGAGACAGCAGATATTCTTTATTTCCGAAAACAGTTTTTCATCCACTTTGTTAAATTAAAAAGCTGTTTTTAAAATGGTGCTGGAGGTGCTGGCTGGGGGAGGGTGAACAGAACTGCCAAGTCCTCCCTCTCTGGCCTCCTCCTCCTCCTTGGCCCCCACAGAAGCTGCCTCAGCCTGAGCCCCTGGGGTGTTCTCCAGCTCCCCTGCTCGCTGAGGCAATCCTCTGAGATCCCCAGGAAGAGGGTCAGGGCATCTGAGCTACTGTTCACTGGCAGGAAGTCCCTCCTGCTGTCTGGCTTCAGTTCTTCTTGCTGCAGGGAGCCCATTCTTTCCCCGACCACTATCCTTCTCCAGCTCCCGTCCCGGTTCCCTAAGGTGTTCCCAGTTTGCAGAGGATTATGTGCCCTCGCGGCCCAGTAGCCCACTTTCCATGTAAGCCATCAGACTCCTCCCAAGGTATCCCCCATAAATATTATCTTTTATTCTGTACATCCATCTCCTAGCCCCATCCTACTCTGAACTATCAGATACATACCCCATGTCCTTGGGTCCTCTGGGAACAGTGGGGTGAAAAGCTTAACTTCCTACAGCCTTCTCAGGCCTCCCTTCCTCTTCTCCTGGGCCCCAGCTCCATCTTAAGCCCCTTTTATGTGTCAGCCTGGGGTACCCCACTCCACCCTCAACAACACCCTGGTCCTAGTTGTGAAGGGTTAGTCCCCCCTCAGCCCCCAGCCGGGAAAATGGCCAGTCTGTTTGGGAGCTGAGATGAAAAGCCCAGTCGGCCTTTGTGGGCCTCTGGCGGGTTTTGGACAATAGGCCCTTCCGTTCCGCTCCAGTGCCTTGATTCCTTGGATGCCCCCACCCCCAAGCTGCCAATCCAGGGGCCTTGCCTGGCCTGAATGAGAGACAGGGAGAGTCAGGCTCAGCCCCACAGCTGGCCTCAGAAGATTCTGGACTTTCTGACCTCCCATCCCATCTTTTTAAAGCCTACCTGCTCCTCCAATCAAGCCAGAGAGATGTTTGGAGGGGCAGAGAGGAAACCTGAGGACACTGAAACAGAAACATACTCCCATATCTGGGACTCAGCTCCCCCTTAGTATAGAACCCAGTTTCCTAACCTGGTGTTGCCCTTGCCTGTGTGACAATAGATAAGTCTCTTCCCTTTCTAGGCCTATTATGAGAGCATGAAAAGCCTCAGCCAGGCTGAGCCCAAAACCTCTGGAAAAAGAAAGGACAGGGAAGAGAGGAAGGAAAGGAATCTCAGGTCCTCCTCCACTCATGTCCCCTAGACGTACAGCCCCACCTCACCTGCCTGATTCCCTGAGACTGACCTGCCCCACCTGGGCCCCAGCACCTACCTCTTCACCACTGGCCAAACACCAAGCACATCAATGTCCTCCTCCTCCTCCAGACCAACTCTTCAGGACTTCCAAAACCAAGGGGGCAAGATGAGGTGACAAGGCTAGAGTCTAGAAGGGCAAAGGGCATAAATCAGAGGTCACAGAGGAGCCACAGGCCTTAGTCCAACTCAGAGGCCATTCCATACTCACAGCCCCACTGTGAGAAGGGGAGACTGAGGCAGGCAGCAGCTAAAATCTGGAAGAAGAAAAGTTGAGAGTAATACAGACCCCTTCTAACACCCCTTGCTGACTTCAGGTTCTGAACCACAGGCACAAAGGTTACCAGAGAAGGCAGTGGCCTGATACAACACAGAGATACACACCCGCAGACAATCCACAATTCCCATACAATCAGTTCACAGACACACAGGCACCTCCATATCACATGCATCCTCACATGCACAATCCTAGAGTCACAGGGTCACAGGCATGGTGTAAATAACCACCATCATAACACCCCCTTCCTTATCACCACTATGATTTATTGAGCATCTATTATATGCCAGGAACTGTGTTTGGCACTTTATATGCATTATCTTACTTAATCTTCATGATTTCTCCATGAAGTAGGTTTTATTGTTCTTCCCATTTGATAGCCAAGGAGACTCAGTTTCAAGGAGGTCTTGCCCTATACCACAGAGCTGATCAGTTCCAGAGCCTAGATTTGAGTCTATATCTAGTTCCAAAACCTTGCTGCTATACCAACTTGCCTGTGCAGATCTCTCACCCACCTGCACAATGCCTTTCCCAATAATAATAGCAGGTATCACTTGTTCAGGGTCCTTGGTTACCTAGACACTGTGATAAGTACTTAATTTACATTTTGGTATTGAATCATCAAAACAAGCTTCAAGGCCGGGCACGGTGGCTCACACCTGTAATCTCAGCACTTTGGGAGGCTGAAGCAGGTGGATCACCTGAGCTTAGGAGTTCGAGACTAGCCTGGGCAACACAGTGAAACCCCATCTCTACCAAAAGTACAAAAAATCAGCCAGGCATGGTGGCACGTGCCTGTGGTTCCAGCTACTCCTGAGGCTGAGGTGGGAGGATCGCTTGAGCCTGGGAGGTGAAGGTTGCATTGAGCCAAGATTGAGCCACTGCACTCCAGCCTGGGTGATCAAGTGAAACCCTATCTCAAAAAAAAAAAAAAAAAAAAAAAAGCTTTGGAGGTAATACTGTTTCTGTTTTACAGATCCTGAAACTGAGGAGAAGCAGCTTGGCTAAAGTCACACAACTGGTAGTTGGTAAAGGAGCTGGCCTTGAACTCAGGGATATCTTGAAAGCCACTGTTGCTTCTATGGACTCCAGCCATTCAAAAGACCCCTCACCTTCTATAAGACCTCAGGAGATCCTCAGGGTCCAACTCTCCCCTGAAAACAGGTCCCAGATATATCTGCCAAAGGTATGATTAGGTGCCTAAACACATACCATGAGAAAGGGATTCCATGTCTTCCAATCCTGCCCAGAGATGCAGAGACATCACCAACCAGGGAGAGATAGCCAGAAACTAAAATAAGGTATTAGAGACAGGCTGGTTGATAGTGACAGATACAGCCACACCAAGACAGGCCCAAAGGGAGATTGAGGGGAAGCCAGAGACAGAGAGGGACACATTAGGCCAAAGAATGAAAGAGATAGCTGGAAAAGGAGACAACAGGAGTAGAGGAGGGTACAGGCTAACATGAAAAAACACGGACAGATACACTCCAGTATGCAGACAGACACATATAGACCCATCTGACCTTCACAAGAAACAGATTGTGAAAGCAAGCAAGGCTCAGGCTGTGTGTGGCGTGCGTGTGTGTGTGTGTGTGTGTGTGTGTTGTGGGGGGAGCATGCAGAGTCTGTATCGCTACGTACATTACACCAGCTGCTTCCAGCAATTTCATCTGATTAATAATAAATGCCCCATAATTACAGCTGCTCCCCTAGCCCTTCTTCCTGTTTTTTGTCAGCTGCTGCCAGGCCAGCCCCCAATAGACCCTATGGTCCCCTCCATCCTCACCTGCTGTCCTCTAGGAGGCTGAGAGAATGTGAGCTGGTAGAGGAGGCCAGATTCCCAATTTAAGGAGGGATACCCATCTCCCTATCTTGGATTAATGCCCTTTGCTTCCAAGCAAAAAGTCATCTTACTTAGGTCTCATTCAGAACTCTTCTACTGCATAGGTATAACTTGTGACCCCTAATATGGCCTAGGGGCCCACATCTGGGATGCAGAGAGACAAAATCCCCTTGCCCACTCTTTATTACTCACTGGCCAAGACTCCATCCACAAACTTTACCTCGCCTCAGAACCCTGTAGGCTCAGAGGAGGAAGGGACCAGGACAGGGGCCCTCACCCCATCATTCCAATCCCAGACAGCCCCAATCTTTGCCCACTTGTATACCCTAGAGCTCTGGACACTAGGTGGCTCCGCCTGCCCATTCCTGAGTACCCCCCCCAACTCCACCCCCACAGGTCCAGCTCCTTCGAGGCCTCCCACCCAAGCTCTCCAAGGCAGCTCTATCAGAATCAGCTGCGGAGTTGTGCCGATCTGTTTCTAATCGTTGGGGCCTGGTTCACGCTTGCCCCCACCCCCCAATATTGATTCCATTATTTGGAAAGTCACTGACGTCAGGGGCCTGGATGGGTGCCAAAACCGCCTTCTCTCCTGGCCTGGGCCAGGGCCCAGCCCCCCATCCCGCAATTTCACGGAGGGGCCCAGAAGGGTCAGCTCATGGGCCAAGGTCAC